CTCTCTCTCTCTCTCTCTCTCTCTCTCTCTCTCTCTCTCTCTCTCTCTCTCTCTCTCTCTCTCTCTCTTTCTCTCCCTCTCTCTCTCTCTCTCATTCACCTACTCTCCACCTCTACCGTCGTACTCTAAGCCTAATCTAAAACCCTCTCCCCCCCTTTCATCTTCGCATGCGACTAACCCTTCCTCCATACTCTTGTCACATTGCCAGGGACAAACAATGAAAGAGCTTGGATCTCACTTAGTGGAAAAAGAGGGCAAGGGGAGGGTTGTCTGCCACCTAGAAGAAAAGAAAAGTGCTTGACGATTGGAAAGACTTATGAGTGCAAAGGACTTGAGAATTCGGAGGACTTGAGGGTTGACAAGTCCTAGGGACTAAAGTGACTTGCTGAGTGAAAGAGAGGGTAGTAGACTCGACCAACACCATGACTGCATGAGAACAGGAAAAGATTGGTCAAGGCGGTGGAAAAGATTGAAAAGGGAAGGAGCCGAGAAAGAGAAAGAGATTAAGCATGAGGGAGGAATTATGTGTTGACCCCATGTGGGTTTTCAAGTTGTGCTTGTTGTTTATTGCATTGAGTGTACAAGCAGGTAACCATCTAAGATGCATTGAGCGGGACTTCGCCCGGTGAGACCGCGTGGCGAAAGAGAGAAGCAGAATGGGTTGTGAATGTAACCCTTGCCTATGAATGAGTCATGTTTGTATGCTGCTCATCCTTAAAAGGAAAATGAGGTCTTGGTATTTGGGGGTTGGCGAAAGAGTGTTGGATGGTCGATAGGACCGTCGAATCACATGAGTATGTGGGTGGGCCCCTGAATAGACTAAGGGTTGTATAGACAAACAAGGAAACTCAATGCATGAGACAAGATTGATGCTTGAGATGTCGGAAGCAAGCATGTAGACTTGTTGAGAGGGCAAGCAAAGGGCACCCTAGTGAGGCGAAAAGGGCAACATAACTTAGCCAACGGGCCTAAGCTGAGGAGCGACCCTCTATCTCAATGACGTCGCTAGACTCTGCACTTAGTGAATAGATGCGTGACCTAAGGAGGACGCTTGGCCTGCACATAAAGGAAGATGAACTTTCAAAGAACTCCTTGGACTGTATGAGTATTGGAAGGAGCAATTGCTTGCAAACACAACAAGGTACCGAAGAACAAAAGCTTGTGAAAGATCAACGAGACTATCCACCTAGCGCGAGGGTTGAGCTATATCCCCAATATCAAAGCTCTCTTGCCCATTGGCCCACCCCAATCCATCTCAAAGCACTAGGTGGGGTGACCCTGTGACGAACGCTCCTCGCTCAGGGCCTGGGTGTGGGCGGAACTGAGCCAACTGGGACCCGCTAAAGGGTCGACACAGGCTCGAAAGTCTACCAGGGTGGGGCCCTACACCAGCTATGGCCATTGTGCGGCCGCTACCACCAGAGCGCCCTTCTCACCTCGTGTGCCCGCGTGCTCACAGGCCAGTAGTGCTAGCACAGTTGCTTGAGCTACGACGCATCAGCATGGGTGCATTGCCTGCACAGGCAAGAATGCCTCGCCCAGGGGCGCACACTTTCCTTTATGGAAAGTTCGCCCAATTGTTGGCTGGTTTCGGCTAGGCGCGTAGGGGCCCACTAACTTTCACTTGGACCAAAGAGTGTGCGTCCATGCCCAGTTTCAGATACTGGCCTGGGCCTCGTGCAGTTAGGCACGTTCATGTAGCCCTCTAGACTCCAAGTGTTTACTGCATTCTCACTAGTTCGCGGTACGACAATGCTGCATTCTCATTGGTCCACAACCACCGTATGATGTGTCGGCCTCCCACTGCGTGTGCCGAGGGCACAACCACTTGAGCCTTGGGATCATCTGTACAACATGGCTGTTGCTTCCGGAAGGAGCCACAAAAGGCTCACGTTGCTCTGTAACCAACAGGCGTGATAGCCCATATAAAAAAAAAAATGAAAATAGGCCTCTTGTGGATGTTAAGGTCCACCTTCACTTAGGGCGGGCACGGGGGTTGCTGGGGGCCACCGCCCAAAACATTTGCATGTACAGGAAGGGCTTCGCGAAGGCTCATTCCTCGCACCAGGATCGTAACATTATAATAATTCCCGACCGATAAAATATATCTAACTAGAACTAAAACTGCATGGTCACTAAAGGATAGCCTCTCCATAATCAACGCCTACAATTTGTTCAACTCATTTTGAAGAAACTGCAAACTTGGCACGCAGTGTGGTCCCATAATAGGATACCGATCAACGGCCTCCCTCCTCGGAAAGGGACGTCGGGACTATCACTTGTTGGGTCCCATGTCCAATGGTAAGGGGGGGGCATATTAGCTTCCAGGGGGGTGATAAACCTCCTACCGATGCGACAACGAGTACCATAATGTTGTATAATATAAATCGTGACGCCTGAAATGATCCCTTGACTGGGCGAATAAGACTTTTGAAGGGTCAGGCAAGTCTAGGCTGCCTACTCAAAAATTTTAAGTATGATAAACGATTCACTCCCCACATAATCATAATAGGGTAACTAAAATTGAAATGACAATCATCTCAAAATGAAGAAATTGAAATTCACACTAGGAATTGGATCACCGCGATTGCCTGTGATTGTCAAATTAGTCAATACCAAAACAACGTTCCCGATCTTGATACACATCCGAAGCACTACGTTCTGCTTTTTTTTTTTCTTCATCTTTCCTTTTTTTTTTTTTTTTTTTTTAACATAGATTACATATTGAGTGGTCATCCCATTACTCGATTTTTTGAAGCTCGACACACAATAGAAAAGACTGCGTTGAGGCTTTTGCCTTTGCGTACCTAGGCCGAGCCCGACGCCTACCATAAGCACAGGTCGGTTGTGCTCTGTTGTACAGCAGGGCGTTGAGTTCGCATGGATCAATGGAAGGTCCAGTGGTGCACCCCCTGCCAGTGAGACTGTCGACTGAGACTGGTCAAAGAATAGGCTGTGAGCAGGGTATGACTTAAACACCGCGGAGGGTCAGGATAGCGTGTCGTCCGACTGCACGCTTGTCTTGCTGTTG